AATTCTTTCTAATGCGAATCAGTGCAGAAGAGGCATTGATCACAACCCATCTTGCATAACTTTTAGTGCGGTTGAGGAGTCAACGATACACATTTTCCGCGTACCTGAAGTATGTTGTCCCTTGGAATAGCTTGTTTTCACCCCTTACTTGGAATACTTGAAAGAGGCGAAATGAGCGTATATTCAAGATTTAGTGTGTTAATTCGTTCACCCTTCTTCATCAAAGTCTGCTTGTCGCCAAACAAGCCACCACTGTGTCAAAAGCTCCGAGTGCTCATGTTAACTCTGAAAAGCTGGAAATTCAATAGAGACCGACGCCATGTGATTGGATCTGTCATAATACGGATGTGACAGTGAATAGTTTGAGGAAAGCCTCAGCGGGTGGTATCTTTAAAAATCATGACTGTAATTTTCTGTTGGGATTCTACAAGCAACTTGGTTCGACATCAGTCCTCATCGCTGAGGTATAGGGAATTCTTGAAGGATTAAAGATCTGCTGGAGCAATGGGTTTCAGAAACTACAACTTCATATGGATAGCTCGGATGCTTTTAAATTGGTTACAAATGTCTCCCTCAAAAGCCCTCACTCCTTGGTGCGTGAAATTTGTAGACTATTGGATCAAGTTTAGATTGTTAGTTTCATTCCTATTCGGCGTGAAGCAAACCTGGAAACAGATCTCATCTCCAAGATTAACAACAATAGGCCTGGTCAACTATCCTTGTTCACCTCAACACACGACTCTTTCACTAATATACTCAGCACGGGCATTCTAGGTTCGTCCGTTCTGGACATGCCTGATGTATTTCATTAGGTTCCCTTTAATTTGAAAAACAATTAAGAAGATGGATAAAAATTTAAGTAAAAAAACAATAATTATTTAAAAAAAAACATAATATATTTTATATTTTTGTTCAAACTAAGTGATTTGCATAGTTATACATTATTAACTAAAGTTAAGTTATTGTTAATCCCTATAATATATGATGAACAAAAATTATTAATACATTAAGAGTAAATATAAATGACAAATCTAATTAAGGCTCACTATAATAAGCATTTTTAATGCGGATTAAGAAATTGTAATTGATAAATTAAAGAATTATCAAAGAAAAGAATCTAGAGTGGGTTGCACATATATTGGGCATATCAGGAATCTCAGGATTCCTCATGACATCATAGTTTATCTCATGCATTGCAACTGCATGACGATATTGAGGCATCTGAGGGTGCGAACTTTCTGCTTGCATGGATGTTGGTGGATGTGCCCAAACTGGCGGAGAATTCTGCATTACTTGGCCACGACAAACGGTTGCCTCCTATACATCACCCTCTATGTCAGAGGCTTGTCCTTCTTAAGCAGCCTCGACAATATTAGATTCATCGATTATTGGTGTGTCATTGTCCATCGTAAGCGGAACAAAAGTTTCAATGTCCTCGCTAGAATCAGCAAGGATTTCATCGAATCCCCCGACGAGGTTATTTACATCTTCTGATGGTCCTGCTTCTGTAATCACTAGTGCAACAGTTGAGGAAGTAGGAACATCTGCAGTTTCGGCAATAATCTTAATCATCTAATTACCAGAAGATTGATAAAGATCAACCATAACAACTACATCGTCATCGTCATCGAGTACGATTGCTCCATATTTCAACAGAGTCTCTGAAATGATGTTTCGATATCTCAAACTTCAAACAAAAGCTCTGATTTTGTTTTCGATTTTCATCTTCATTTGCCCATGAGTTACATTTTCCGGAAACATCATGTTCACGAGACTCTGTGACATGAACTGAACACCATCTTCAACTTCAACAATTTGGCCGATGGACGACTGCGAAAAACTTGTTTGCCATAGCTTCAGAGAGAGATTGGTTTTTCGCTTGTTCAAAACAATTGCAACAAAATAACAAGGATTGTGAAGATTCATCAGAAGTGAGCCAATTTAAAATAAATAAGACACCTCATTAATTACAATACAATACCTCTCTAGTGAAATGTCATCTCAATTTTCAATCTTTCAGCTACTTTTCAGAGGTCATTTATTACAACAATAATGCACCATTTCAACTACTTTTCAGAGGCCATTTAATGCAGAATTCCAACAACTATTCAGAAAATGGGTGAAAATAGTGTTGCATTATCATCTTCAACTTCTCAATGATATATCACTCAAATCAGAAAACTTTTTAGTGTTGAATTATCACTTCAAGTCATAAAAAACGTGTATTTTAACCAGGCCAAATTATGCACCGTTTTAGCTACATTTCAGAGGTCATTTATTGTAGCAATAATGCACCGTTTCAGCTACTTTTCAGAGGTCATTATTACAACAATAATGCATTGTTTCATCTATTTTTCAGATGTCATTTATTACAGCAATAATGCACTGTTTCATTTACTTTTCAGAGGTCATTTAATGCAAAATTCAAGCAACTGTTCAGAAAACGGGTGAAATAGTGGTGCATTAACATCTTCAACAATTATTAATATATGTGAGTTGAAAGCCATTTAATTCTGATATTGAAGTAAAAAAAAACTATAACACCTTCAATCTTTCACTTCCAAAGCTTTAGTTTTTTTTCAAACATGTCAATTCTTTGTTCAACTATTTTTACGATTGCAAATCTAGAACCATGTGTTTCCCAAAAACTATCCAACCACACAAGTTGAAGTCCAGTATATAAACAATAGTTCTACTCGGAAGTTGTAGAAGAGTATCTTCCACATATTATAAATTTCCAGTATCATATACGATGTTTCATCTAAGCGGTGATGTAGACCTTGTTGGCATGATTGAGACATATTTTCTATCACTATTGATTTGTTTGTAGAGTTCGATGATCTCGACCTTGCTCGTACCATTGAGGATATTGATTCCAGCTCGAATATCCCACCAACTCAGACAAATGACCAAGAAAAAAAAAAACATAGATGATGGAGACCCAGAAGCATGGTTCCAATTTGTATGTGAACGACAACAGTAAAAGAATGGGAAATTGAAGAACTTAATCTTACTTCTGACGAGTCTACTGATTACGAAGATTAAAACTTCTTAATCAATACTACTATGTTAATGATTTTATTTAATATTTATGGTGTTCATAAGATTAGTCCTATTTACGTCCTCATGTTAATGTACTAAGTTTGTAGTTTTTTTCTTTTCAACATAATCTACCATATTTTAGAGAGCAAAAAAAATATTTTTTTTAAAAAAAATTCACTTCATAATCTTGAATTTTTTTTAATGGAATTCGTCACCTCGAGGTGACGAGTTCCAAAAAGGAAATATTAAAATATTAGGCCGGAAATAAAAAAATTATATCCCATGGAACTCGTCACTTATACTATAGAAAATGTCGTATATCCCAAAATAATTTTTGGGGTGCCTTATTGGGCCAAATAATCCGCCCACATACCGTATTGGGCAAAAAAAACATAAGAGTAACAGGTTTTGAGTTGAAGATCCAAAAACCATTCACCAAATGAGCAAAGTAATTTAAAAAATAAAATTTTCCAACGTGTCTTCCTCCTATTCGTCTTGTATATAAGACTTAGAATAGATGAGGCCATGCATCGTTAATGGAATCGGAATCAGCCAACCTGTTATGTTTTTTTAACTCTTAAATATATAATTAGTATTTGAATACTATTTTTCTAAAATAGTATTTAAAATTTTTTTGTTCTTAAATTAATTTATGAATTAGACAATTTCTTGAAGTTGGTATCTAAAGAATTTTCACTCTCAAGTTAATATTCAAACTTTAATTTCATTGATTATTCTCATACTTCTAATAACTTTTATAAATTTAATCAAGGAAGGCTATTTGAATTTAAATCCAACTAGCTTACTTATTTATACACCCTGAGTACGAATATAATGTTTGTTTCAATAAAAAATATTCAAACACCCGTAAATCTTAGTTCTATATTACTCGACTTTCTATTTTTTTTCGATCCATCTAAATATGTTTTTATATCGATGTAGTTTTCGGACATGTTTTCCTCTCCAAATTCCCATAAATCTATTAACTTTTTTCTCATTTCTTTCTCCCTTTTTTTTACGACCGTTAACGATGGTCTTATTTTGCAATGCATGTAACCCCGTTTCTATTTCGCCATTTTCTACTTTTCTTTAGGTGCTTCTCATGTGAGATTATTATATGATTGTTGGGAATAAATCAATGTCATCGAACGTTGGTAATTTATTTATTTTTATTTTGAACAGAGAATTGTAATGAGAGAGAAAAATTTGTTAATAGATGGTTTTATACGAGAGAAATTGATCATAATGAAGGAGATTTAATGTAAATTATAGAATGTTCTGACTCCTTTATTAATCTAGATCAAGAATATTTATAATAACTTTAATTAATGGTGTGAAACAGAATAATTATGACTATTTACGGGTTAGTATACCAGATAGATATGATCATCAAATCTTGAATTTACTATGATAAGTCACTTAAACTTACCATAAGTCTTATTTATGTATCTAGGTTCACTTAAAAATCTATGCTTAGAGAATATGAACTCGTTGAAGACTCTAGCAAGTAAAGAGATCTATTTGGGAATTTATCTTAACAGAAAATCGACCATTTTTTAAGGTTATTTTTTTAAAGATATGACCTTAATTATATTTTATTAAAAACTAATAAGATTAATAACCTCACCAACTAGCTAAAGTGTACGGTCTTTTTATTTGACTTACTTGAGTTCTATTTTTACAAGACATATGATTTAATTTTAAATTATTCATCATTTGTACACATGATAGCTAGATAAATCTAGTTTATCTAAAAAGGCGTCGTAGCTTGATTAGTAATCAATGTAAATGCTTTCAACACTCGATAATCCGCTGTCTTAAAGATTTGATATGAAACTACAAAATAACACTTGGCCATGTGATAGAGGGATTACGCAGGCACATTTGACGGTCCAGATTAATCTAGGAAACGTTTAACATCAACGACAATCCCCACCATGTCTTTGAAACACTCTCTTTTTCCTCTATATTTATTCTCCATTCCCCGTTTCACTTGAAACCGAAAGAAAGGGCGAGTCAGGTTCACGAACACAGGAAAAAAGAAGATGTTTTATAGCTGTTCTCATAGTGGAAACAACGGCCACCACCCCGAAACAAGCGGAAAGGTCGCCGTCGACGGAAACAGCATCATGTTGTTCGGTGTCCGACTGACGGAAGGATCGTTCAGAAAAAGTGTTAGCATGAACAATCTTTCTCAGTTCGACGACGAGGAGCAGCAGCCTCCGGATTGTTCCAACGCCACCGGCTATACTTCCGACGACGTAGTTCACGCCTCCGGAAGAAGTCGTCAACGCAAGAGAGGTACAGTTTCATCACAAACCATGTCATTTGAACTGATTTTGTTTTGCCGGTTGAATCCGATTAATATATGTAGGTGTTCCATGGACTGAGGAGGAGCATGGATTATTCTTAGTGGGGTTGAAGAAAGTAGGTAAAGGAGATTGGAGAGGCATTTCCAGACACTTCGTGAAGACACGTACGCCGACACAGGTCGCAAGTCATGCTCAGAAGTATTTTATCCGGCAAAATAACAAGAATCACAGGCGCCGCCGATCCAGTCTCTTTGATATAACAAATCATTTGGTACGAACAAATATAATCTTCATGTTCTACTTCCCTCAATTATTACCGTCTGTAATAATCACTTCCCTTTCCTCAAATCCCCAGTTCACAAACACAACCATATCGGAAGAAGAAGTAGCAATAATCCGCCAAGAAAACGTTTCGTCGCCACCGCTGCCACTGAGTCACACGCTGAAACTCTCTATACCGTCGTCGACTTCGGAAGCAGAAGCTCGGTTGTCTACTTTTCAGGCCATGTCCAGCGGAGACAGCAACGGCGGCATAATCAGCGTTGCTTGAAAGGAAAAAAGAAAAGAAAAGAATATATTATAGTATTATACAATATAATTGTAGATTAAGTAAACATGATTGCTTTATTAATTGTAGATTAAGAGGATGGGATTAGGTGATTTGATGGAACGTATTTGTGCACGTGTTCTAATTTAGAGGAGATATGGTGGTGGGAGTGTAATCTAAAGCAAGTGGGGTGTCATTGTATTCGAATTTGTGGGTGCTGGTCACCAGCCACTGCCTACACTTTTTAACATCTCTCTTTTATATTTTCGCTTTTGTGGTTTATAATAAGTGATTGCTATGAAATTTAATGCTTTTTCACCCTTTGCATTCTAAATAAAATCTTGTTTGGGTTTGTGCGATGGAACATGAAAACGATATTAAAAATATGTAATTTTTTTAGTTTTTATACTATGTAATTGAATTTTAGTTATATACACACTAATTATGATCTATTGAAATTATACAAATTTTTTAAATTTTATATGTTTTTAAATCATTGAATGAATGAAAATAAATAACCGAGATTAATATTAAAAAAATATGATAATTTTACGAAAAAAATCACATTTATAACTCAATTATTTGGTAACTATACTGATTAAAACAAATCAATCCAAAGCCAAATGCCAATTCCAAACAATATATGTCTCCACTATCAAATTCCACCAAATATTGTTCCTTGATCTTACCTGTTACTTTTTCTATATTTATTTATTTATTATTTGTAAGGGTTTGTATTTTATCAACTAATTAATAAAATAATTAGTCTTTTAACATACAAAAGGGTAGCTTGATGCTTGATATCTTTCTCTGCTAGATGCTTTTGATGAGTATATTTTAGGCATGGTTTTCAGAATCGGATCGGTTAGCGAACCGGTCATGCTATCGGTTCATTGGTTCAACCTGTTGAACCGGTCCGACCGGTCGGAAGAACCGGACGGCGTCATAATTATTTAAAAAATTAAATAAAAATACAAAAAATATTTAATAAAAAATAATTTTTTATATCACAAGTCATATTTAAAGCAAGTCATAACATATATAAGTTAAAAACCATAAAATCAAGTGAAACAAAATGATTCAAATTAACTACAACATAATATTTAAGGTAAAAAATATTAAATAATAAATATAATTATATAACTATAATTAAAAAAATAAATTTTGGGTTAAAAAAAGCATAACAAAATGATATTGTTTGGTTTAATTTTTTTTTTAAAAATAATCCCACATGGCTAAGAAACATAGAAGAGCATCCCAAAAGTCTAAAGAGTAAAAATACGAGAACAAAACAATCTCACATTGCTAAGAAACATAGAAGCGCATCACAACTAACTTCTATAAATAATAGAGGTAATTTGGCATTCAAAATCATGGAGCCTTTTGGTGAGCATTGAGTGAACTATTCTTTCACTTCAATCAAGCTCGAATTTTAGGCTTCAATCGAGCTTCTAATTTTTTTTTGAGTTCAAGGCTTTTTGAGTTCAAGTTTCAATATTATATTTCGAGTTTGAGTTGAACTTGATAATTTTTAGCTTGTGAGTTTGAGTTGAGTTGAGCTTACTTTTAAAGTTTTCAAGTTCGAGTCGAGCTCAGCAATACTCGAGTTCGACTTGGCTCGTTTAACAAACGACGTTGTTTGGTTTAATTTTTTAAAAAAAAACAAAAATCCCGGTTTTTCCCGGTTTTTTTTCGGTTTTCAGCCGGTCTAGTTCGAACGGTTCAACGGTTCTGGCCGGTTCACTAATAGCGGTTCAACCGGTTTAGATTGAACCGGACTAAGCAACGGTTCTCGGTTAAACCGATTGAACCGACCGGTCCGGTTTTCAAAACAGAGATTTTAGGTTAACTCCTCTCTCCCAATAAAGAACTACATGCATGCATGAAGGCTTAATTGGATGGTCAAAACATTTCAAATATTTATTGTCCCACCTCCAAAATATTACAAGCAAGATATATGCCACATATGCTGGCTTTTCTCATCGTCGTCTTCTACCACTTCGGCTGATTCGGAGCTTCCGGCGGCCATACTTTGATGCCTATGCTTGTCTTGGCGGTTGTCTCGAGTTTCTGGCTCTCCTGTTTAAAAGGGAAAAATTGAAAAGAAAAGAAAACAAGTAACTGCAATTTGCTTGATCGGAACATGGTCAGCTTTTAGTTCTATATATAGATTTGCTTTGCTTTGTAACTGCACAATTTCGAAAAAGAAAAAGAGAAGGCGTTTGCAGATTTGTATTACAAACTAATGAAAAGAAGAGAAAGAAAGGTGCCAAGAAAAGGGTTTTTTAGTAATTACACAAGGCTTTGTGAATGCAATACGCTAATGGCAATTCGCTTTGGATAAGCAAAGATTGAGAGATGGAATAAAGGGAAGAGGCAGGCTTTATTGTTTTTCTTCTTCTGTTGCAAGTGGGTAATGTAAGAGACTAAAACACAATGGACCACATGTACAGTAGGGCTCAATGTAAAAGTTAAATGAAAAGGAAGAAGGAACTAACAGCAAAAGGCATGCAATTACTATTTGATTTATCAACCTTATGGGATTATACACCATCAATACATCAAATATTAGACGTAATCTAAAAAAAACACTCTCAATCTGAAAAAGAACATAAGAAGCAGACCTGTTATGAATAGGATCATGTCCTTTAGGAACTCTTCTTTTGCTCATGTAGTTGAGATCCATCCGTTGATGCACCACACTCGACTTCCCTTTGCCTACTTCCTCTTCCCGCTGTAGCTGCAGCTTTCCCTTCCACGACCATGACTCGTCAACATTTCTTAAAGTTGTCTTGTTTCCTTGATCACTTTGCAGCGTCCCAACAAAGATGACCCCCAAGATCATCAGTGTCCCGAATAAGGCTTTAAACGACAAAGAACAATTATTACAGCCGCCCATGGTTCTATTTCTAGAACATCGAGGAGGGAAGAAAGAACAAACGGTGATTGCTGAGTATGTAAGTATGGTTTATTAGAGAGGGAAAAAAAGAGGAGGTAAAGGCAAGGAGGCTGTTTTTCATTCCCCCTTCCCTTTTACTTTGTGGTTAAGTATTGTTCCCCCCCCCCCCCTATAGAGGGGAGATTCTGTGTTACTTTTGTGAAAGAGAGAGTTTGAGACGCTTGCTTTGAGTTTCATGCATGCCTTACGTACGAGAAGAACAAAGTATAATACTTTTGATGATCCATGGGAGTTACCAAGCTTGAAAGGTATATATATACGGTGCTAAAGATTTAAGTAGCGTACTATTAAAAAATAATAAATTTCTAATAATATTTAGATTATTAAAATTTATCCTTAATCACATTAATTATCTTTAAGTTTACTTATATGACAACATTTAATGGACTAAAACCTACAAAATAATTTACAATCTATCACCCGGTTCAGGACTTCAGGTTCTATCACTCTCAATGACAGAAAATCATTCGCTAAAATTAAAGAGACCATTCAAGTCCATAAGATATCAGTCTGCGAGACTTGCACTAAGAAAATCATTCATGTTTAAAATCACATTTACAACAATTTTAAGTGTACCCTTTGACCGAATTTGATTATATTCCAAATTTAGAAAAGCCTTTTTGCATTTAGGAAAACTTATTATTCAAAGTCTGACAAATAGAATTTCCCATCTGTCTCCAAAATTTTCCTTTATAAAATTCGATTCAAAATTGTTTTTTATTGGAAAATTTGATTTATTTATACCCGTATGTTATGTTCTTACCTTTTCCAGCGTCGTATGAGAATTTGGGGTGAGTAAACCTCGACTTGATTAAAAAAATTGATTTTTTTTCAATTTTGAGTTATTTAAGTTGATTTATTCGAGTCAATTCGAATTATAAAATATGTTTTTGAGTTCGAGTCAAATTGAAATTTTGAATTTTCGAGTTACTCGAAAAACCAAAATTTTGACCCAATACTTTGACAGCTTTATGATTTAGTCCCTGATTTCATTATTTATTCAATTCCTCATTCATTTTTAAGTCCATTTTTACTAAATTTGAACCGCATACTCCTAAACCATAGTAGAGTACATGTGTACTTTCAATTCCTCTTTTTGATAACAAATTTTATATTTTTCAATTTATTCCTTCATTTTTTCATAATCTCCTTATTTCTTCAATTTGTCATTTATTTTAAGTCATTTTTTAGCAAATTTGAGTCACATGCTCCTAAACCATAGTAGAATACATGTGTACTTTCAATTCCTCTTTTTGATAACAATTTTTTTATTTTCATTTTAGTCCTTCAATTTTTCGTAATCTCCTTATTTATTCAATTCGTCATTTATTTTAAGTCTTTTTTTTACCAAATTTAAGCCACATGCTCCTAAATCATAGTAAAATACATGTGTACTTTCAATTCCTCTTTTTGATAACACATTTTTTATTTTTCTATTCAGTCATTCATTTTTTTCATAATATCCTTATTCCTTTAATTTGTGATTTATTTTAAGCCACTTTTTTTTTTTACCAAATTTGAACCACAAGCTCATATACCACAATAGAATACCTATGTATTTTTTTAACTAAAGATATACTATCTTTTTTATTTAGTCCCTAAACTTTGCATTTTACTCAATTTGGTCTTTTGACTACAATTGTTTGCAAATTCTTTCTTCTCATCAATTCCTTGACTCATTTGTACTCTCATCAATATTTTACCCTCCAAATACTTTCTTTAAAATATAATATTATGGATATATTTCGTAATTTTAGATTGTATTTGATATATTAAATAACATTATAATATGAAAGAATAATATATATATATATATATATATATATATATATATATATATTATAGTTAGTGTCGTAACCGTCTTTCGGTTGGGCCCCGAAATTGGGCTTCGACTTGAAAAATGTGGATTGGAGTCGCCACCGACCATTTTAAAACGAATTTAGGTGGGTCGGACACCATCTTACATGATATGCGTTTTTACCAGAAATGTGTCGGGTTCGGGAGTCGGTTACGGTCAAGGAAGGATTAGCACCCTTGAACCGCCCTTTCGGTACCAATTAATTTGCCGGTTGTCTTAGTTGCGAAAATTCGAAATTAAAATTAAAATTTAACAGACCCGATTTAAATTACTTACAATTGATTGATTTGAATACCCTTAAAAGATAAAAACGTTTGACTCGTAGCGGAGTATAAAATCGAATTAGGATAGCAAGTGTGCAAACGTGAGAATAATAAATAAAACAAGAAAAAATAGAAAATAACAAAACACGTAAAAAAAATAAACAAAATGAATAAAATGTTAAAAAGCAAAGACACAGATAAAGGGAAAATATTAATGGAGTAAAAAAAATAAAAAAGGTAAAAGAAATTAAAAATGAATAAAAATAATGTGTACATATAAAGTAGTATTTACTAAAACAAATAAAAATAATAAATATATAATATTAAATAAAATAAATAAAAAATAAAGATATACATGATATTAAAAAAATAATAGAAAAAATAAATAAAGTAAAATATATATATAAATAAATAAAAATAAAAATAGAATATTAAGAAAAAATATATATAAAAACGTATAAAATAGAATATTAAAAAATATATATATACACATAGTAAATGGAGAAAAATTAATACATCTATACATATATATATATAATGATATAAGATATATATAATGAAAATAATACAATATAAATAAAAAAGGGAATATAATAAATAAATAAAAAATATAATTAAAAATATATATATAGGGGACGTAATTAATATAAAAGTAAAATTAAAGGGTAAATTTCAAGGTAAATTAAAGATTAAGATTGACTTAGGGGGAATATTAAATACTTTAAAAAATGAACATGCCTCGGGAGTAGATCTAGGTTCGAAACTTCAAAACCCCACCCCTTTTTGGTCATCGGCTCAACCCACGCTTTGGGTTATTCAAACCAAATCTCAAGAAAAATAACATGCACATGCGAGAAATGAACGAATCAATGTAAAAAAGATGCTACCTTTTATTTCCTTTTTGAATAGTTTTCAATAGCTTTGCCTTTGTATTTTTTCGTGCTTTCCTCTGTATCTTCTATGTAAATCCCTGTCTTACAAATGGGGAGGATTACATGTATTTATAGTGAAAAAAACTAACCATTTTTAGAATCATATTAACAATAGAATCCTAATGCAACTAGACTCCTTGCTCGGTTGTTGCACGTTTGTTGGTGTGGTTGTTGCTTTAAAAGATATGGCGGTGGAAGAGTCCTCTTAGGAGATGAACTCTTGCTAGTTCTATCTTTTAAGAAAATGGGTGTCTATAGCTGCCCCTCTTTGTCCTTTTTCGTGGAACGAAAAATAGGACAAAGATGAAAAGACACAAATTTTCGTTTAGTGGAGTTGAAGAATAACTCCCTGTCGAATTGAGTTACGGATGGCTCCTCTGTCGTGAAGTCGAGTCCATCTTGAAATGATTTGAATCAGAATGTGGCTTCTCGTTGTAGTCCACTTTGGTATTCTTCTCGGTTTAAAGACCTTGGCTAAAAATTCGACTGGAAAGTAATCTCTTGACTCCACAATGTGGTTGATATGCTCTCGAGATGAATGAAACCGAACTCGAAAAGTCTTCGTTGACAGATAGCTTTTCTCGACTTAAGCTATGCTGACGAAAAAAAAGGCTTCTTGCTACTAAGGCACGGCTAACCCATATTTTCTTTTTGGCTTGAAAACCTCGATTACAATTATACAATAGTGTGATTGAGGTGTCATTGAGCTGAATGGAATCGAACTCGATAATTTTCGTTGACAGATAATCCTTCTTGCCTTGAGTTATACTGTAAATTTAATTTACCTCTGAGTTGAATGTAATCAAACTCGAAGGTCTTTGATGATAGATAACCCTTCTTGCCTTGAGATATGCTGCAAATTATGTGTCTTGGAGCTAAGCATAGTCGAACTCGAAGGTCTTTGTTGACAGATAACCCTTCTTTGAGTTAGATATCCTTCGTTATGAAGTTGAAATCCAATATAGAGATGGATGTTGCTTGTGTGCACGATTCCCTTCGTCGTGAAGTTGAAACTGTGAGTGGCACCTTCGTCGTGAAGTTGATCTTGGTAATTGGATATCCTTCATCGTGAAGTTGAAATCCAAGTAGGTAGTATTGTTCCAAGTCCAATGTCCTCCGTCGTGAAGTTAAGATTGGCTCTGGAAATTGTTTGTTGACAGCCATTCGCCCCTTCACTGTGAAGTTGAGCTTGTGTTGTCTCGAGTCTAATATCCTTCGTTGTGAAGTTGAAATTGACTCTGAATGAAATTTTGTTGACAATCAGCCTCCCCTTCATCATGAAGTTGAGCTTGTGTTGTCTTGGGTCCAATATCCTTCGCTGGGAAGTTGAAATTGGCCCTGAAATTGGGAAGTTATTTGTTGACAATCAGCCGCCCCTTCACTGTGAAGTTGAGCTTGTGCTGTCTTGAGTCCAATATCCTTCGTTGTGAAGTTGAAATTGGCTCTGAAATTGGGAAGTTGTTTGTTAACAACCAACCGTCCCTTCGTTGTGAAGTTGAACTTGTGTTGTCTCGAATCCAATATCCTTCACTGTGAAGTTGAAATTGGTTCTGGAACTGGGTTGACAACCAGCCGTCCCTTCGTTGTGAAGTTGAACTTGTGTTGTCTCGAGTGGCACGATATCTTTCATCGTGGAATTGAAATTGTGGATGTGCGGGTACGATATCCTCCGTCGTGGAGTTGAAACCGCGGATGGCCCCTTCGTTGTGAAGTTGAGCCTTGACTTGAATATCCTTCGTCATGAAGTTGAAATCCAAGTATTGTATGTTGCGGGTGGACACGATTCCCTTCACCGTGAAGTTGAAACCGTGGATGACCCCTTTATTGTGAAGTTTGGCTTCGAGTTAGATATTCTCCGTCGTGAAGTTGAAATCTATTCTCGAGCAAATTGTGTCACTTTGAGTTCAATATCCTTCACCGCGAAGTTGAAATTGACTCTAGCTAAAACCTGAAAAAGTTATGCATATATGTGATGCTATGAATACAATGCTCTTAGGTGTGCCTAAAATGCATATGCAACATATGTTATCTTGGGGCTCTGGAGAGAAATCTCAATCTCCA